TGCCACTGGCCTGGATGAGCAATTTGAGTCTCTGCATTTATTTTCCCTCATTCTTACCCGGCCCTTTAGGTGAAGAGTCTCTGAAGGATCGGAATACCTTTCAGAAGCTGCTGCAAATAAGTGCTACAGCCCAGCTGGAGCATCCAGAGTATCCTGGCCCTCTTTTGCCAGCTTTGGCATTGCTCCCCAGGACCATTGCTCTTGAAAAGAAGATGACCCCTTTGCAGATGGAACTACAAGAGACTCTGAAAGGACTGCTGGGAAATGACAACAAGGGCTGCTTTGCAGTGGCCACACAGTATGGCTGGGTCCTGGGTAAGGACTCCCTCCTGATGATGTAGGGGCTGATCTCTGAGACTCGCTGTCCCTCCAAGAGTTCTGCAGCTCCTTTTGCTCTGATCACTGCCTTCTGTGTAGACTGGGCACAGTTGGCCAGCATTTTTGCTTAGGGCCTCATCCTTTTCCTGTCTTGTGCAAATAACAATGTAGATGCCACAGGGTTACCTGCATTCCCTTCCTGGGCACCCTGAGACTCTGGAGCTCCTCCACATGGTGTGACCTTCCCCATTATATCTCCCTGGTCTCTGCCCAGCCCTGGGGAGGTAAGTGTAGGGCTTCCTTTTTAGCTGCTGTTCCAAGGGATGTCATTCAACGGGTTTTATCTCCCACACCCAGACGCTGAGGTGCTACTGGACAGTGGGGGCCAGTTTCTAACCCTGAGGGACTTTGTTGCACCTCATCTCACCCAACCAGCTGGGAGCCAACAGCTGCCCTCTGGGGCCAAGAGGTAGGTGTCCAGGTGGTAGGTGTCCAGAAGTGGTTGTGGCCCTCCTTAGAGATCGGGAAGAACAGACTTTCATCTGTTCCTTCCTCCTCCCAGGCTGGCTTTCCTGTGCTGGGAATTTTCCAACTTCAATAGCCGAAGCAAGGACTTGCTGGGTCGCTTCTTCCTGGCTCGGCGCCATGTGCTAGCTGCTGGCTTCTTGGTTGTAGACGTGAGTTCTGCGGTGAGGTGGACCAGGACCTGGGTGAGGGTGACTGCAGCATGAAGGCCTCAGAGCAGCAGCCACAGCCTCATAGTTGTGCCTCTGTATTTGGCTACCTTCCCTCCTACCCTAGCTCGGGATTTAAGCACAAGTCAGGCCCAGCTCTCACCTCCCTGAGATGATAGTCAG